GCTGCGTGGCTGCTGGCCGCCATCTTGGCTGGAAGTTAATTTGCATATCTCGCTGATTAGCCGATGGGAAGGGTAGCGGTCGTACGCCAATTACCATGTTTCTCTTTTATTAGATAAGGATTAAAACTTTATAAAGATAGGTTTTCCACTACCACCTGGACCATCCAATAAAAAGCATTTGGGGTGTACAGTTTGATCTTTGATGGCTGAAGTTATTCTTTCTACAATGCCAAAGTCCTGTGTCATCCCCTGGACTAATCTCTCCTATGGTTTCTTTACCAGAACACAGGCCTCCTGGGCAGGGCCTCCCTAGCCTTGATTTCTTACATGTAAAGGGAATGGGAATTGAGTGGATGTGAAGGTGCCTTCCAGCTCCAATGTTCTCTGGGGAGCCGCATCGGGACCAGAACTCAGACCGCCACACTATTATTGGCAGAGCCTCCTGCCTGGTCTCCCGCCTCTGAGCAGGTCCCAGCCAAGCTGCCCTCCACCCTATTCTTTCTACAATGCCAAAGTCCCATGTCATCCCCAGGACTAATCCTTCCTATGGCTGCCTTACCCAGACCACAAGCCTCCTGGCCAGGGCTCTGTCCTCTGCTCCGCCTCACCTCCCTGCTCATCTAAGATCGACTCCACCCCCACTAACCCCCTGCTGGTCCCTTAGCCTATGTCATCCTCACTCACCCTCTCACAATCCAGGACTTGAACCAGACCCCCGTCACAGGCATATGGAGAGGCCTCCGCCGTGCTCCTGTCCCCACTATGGACCCCCTGCTGTTCAATCATCCATCCAGTCATTTAGGTCGTGATGGTCCCTAGCTTTTTATATATTAGGATATATAAAAAGGATATATATTTGAAAATGCATATACTCTGTAATTCCTCTCCTAGCTATATGACCTAGAGAAATTCTCATACTTATACATAAATGGAGATGCACAAAAATGCTTAGTAGCAAAACAACTGGAAATATTCCAAATTATGATCAATAAAATGGGTAAGTAAATTGTGATATAATCATTTGTAGAATACCATATAGCAGTTAAAATGAATGAAGCAGAGCTATATGTGTCTATATGAATGAGTCTCTATAATATAATAAAGAGCAGAGGAAAATTCACAGAGTAACTTTATAATGTGACACCATTTGAAGGATCTGTAAAAGAACACAGTTATATAATTGGATACATAAGTATGAAGAAACATTGAACTCATTACAGTGGTTACCTATAGGGTGAGGGAGAGAGATGGGGTCACGTATTCATAGAGAAAAGTCTCAACCAGATTTAGACATTTTTAAAAATAGGAGACCCACTGGCATAAAAGGCACAATGTTGATATGATAAAGCCAAGGTGTTGGGGGAGAGGGGCAGAAAATGGCTGTTCATTATATCTCTACTCTTTTCTGTATGTATGAAATTATGCACAATAGAGAAAATAGAGTATAAAGAAGATAACAGATTGAAAAGGCTCCCAAATCCCCCACCAGCAGTTTCAAAGACTTGGTCCATGAGGAATGGCAGCATCAGACTGCAGTTCTGCGTTGAGGAGGGACTAGGAGGAGTACAGACAAGCCAGGACCTCCTACTGCTGACCCAGAGGTAGGAGGCCCACTGCAGGCTGCTGCAGCTTCTGGTGGGAGGAGTGGGAGATGACTTTAACAGTCAGAGACAGCTAATAACAACAGAGGAAAGTGCTTCTTGCATGGACTAGAGTTGTCCAGATAATACAAGGTCTAATGGCACTTCCTAAGCTTTCTGAGTCATGGCGCACACGGACCTTATTTGTCTGGCACACTGGAGTAAGCCTACCTACCACGCTGGGGATCCAGCTCCTCAGGTCCTACTGGTGCCTAAGAGAGCTGAGTGGAACAATGTGTCCGGGTGTATATCCCATAACATCACACAAGTCTAGCCTACTTACAGTAGACCAGAGTGCCATAACACACATCTTTTCTCATCTAAAAGTAGAGTAAATTATAGACTCTTCTAAATCAGCAGCACTTAGCATTCTGTAAGTCCATAGATGCCCGAAAGCAGTGCACTGGGAGTCATGCTATTGCTTGAATCTGTGCACTAGCAGCTGGGAAGACCTGGAGCTAGCGCAAAAGAAATGCAGTTAACAGGGCCTGAAACTTTTCTTGTAAAGCAACTGCGGACAGGTCTAGAACCCTCTACAGTTCATACTTTGGCACCATAACAGGGTGTGGCCCAATAAGACTAGGAGGTGAACGCAGGTGAACTGGGTCGGCACATGTGGAGCAGGATAAGACAGAGAAAACCAAACAGGATGGAACAAAGGTAGTTCCTCACCAGCAGCTCAGTGGGAGAAACTGGTAGGTCACACTATTGACTGAGCCACTCTATTTATATTAGCTTATGATTTCGAATTTATGTTAAACACAGCTCATTCTATGGATAGATTAAACATTATTCAAACACATTCATCTTTGTTCTAAAGTCCCAAGTTCAAAAAGCTCTCTCTGGTGGGAATGCAGCAAGGTCTCCTGAACTGGGTGGACCCAGCTTACATTTGCTGTCACTGCCATAGATGTGAGTTACAGAGACCAGAGGAAGAAGAGCCTTTGTGCTGGGACGGAGCCTGCAGAGGGCACTTTCTCAGTCTCCTTGGAGGAGAGCCAACTGGCCCCGGGATACAGCATTAACAGGCTTGATGGAAGGCAGGGATGCCATGGAACAGGCCTACTGGTTACTGAAATACTGACATATCTCCATATTTATTGGCAATTAGCCACCCAGAGCCCACTGACCCTGCCATACAACCAAACACTCTGCAACACTGGCCCCTCTCCCAGGACCCCATCTCCCCACAGACCAGTAAACCAAGTGTAAAGTCTAACACAGCAGGGGGTCACCAGGCTGTTAAATATTTTGATTATCACCAATGAATGAAGATGAATCACCACAGCTACTCTTGAATGCTCCTTCACCCTGCTGGCACCATCACTTCCTTGGATCCCAAGAGAGAACAGCTTCTCTTGTTGGCCAGTTGCCTCTCAAACTAAACTAAAATCCCTTTCTGGCAAAACTAAATAGCTCTATCTCTCTCTAGGCTATATGCCAGGATAAGGGGAAAGAAAGGGCCTTTTACTGCCATGGCCACAACTGTATTGGAGACCTCGACCTTTCCTTACGAAGGTACGAGAAAAGTCATCCTGACCCTCAGCACAGACCAAAGCCGGTCATTTTCCCAGATTAATCCTTCTTCATGAGCCATCCTCCTTCCATCCCATGCCACCTACAGGCAGTCCCCATGGCTTTAAAACTTATTTCTCAGGAGGCCAGGACACTGTTTTGACACTTGAGTTCATTGAGCGATTTGAGAACCTGACCCTGGAATATGCAGCCACATCCGAGCATTAGCCTGGCCATCAGCAGAGTCAAGAGGAGGCAGCAAAAGCTAGGAGGGAGAAAAGGCGCAGCGGGTTGGGGGAGAAGGGGTGTTCAAGGCACGAAAGAATTTTGCTGTCCACTCGGGGAATCAGAGGAGGCAGGCAGGAGCTGCATTTGGATAGACGATCGGACAGCGCTCTGGGAGATAAGGGAAAAGCCAAAGCACAATGGCCACATCTACTCACCGGGGTTGGTTATTGTTAGGAGATCAAGCTGCCGCTGTTGCTGCAAAAGAAAACACACTGTGAGAGCCCTGATTTGAGCCAGAGACCGACTTGTGATTAGCAGGTCAACAGGGTACATTGTAGATAATTGGTGCTCACTCATGATTCTGCAGAGACAAAGGGAACGGGCGGCTTTCTGCTTGTCCTTGGATGGTCAGAGCTAAGTGGGTCTTTGAGGTCTTCCAGTCCAACCTGTATTGTGCTTAGGGAAAAGCCACGGGCTCATTTGCCTTTGCTCACACCTGCTACACTGGGTAAGTGGCTGACATCCTGGCGATTTTCTTTGTCTTGGGTCCTTACATCACTGTCAGTCTCCTGATACGCCTTTCTAACCAAGATACTCCTGGGCTGCTTTACTTCTTGAATTTGCTCAGCAATGCCATGACAATTCCAATTACTGATGATCCAACTGTTCCTTCTCTAACTGAATCCTCATCTCTTTGTACCACACAACATTCAAAGAAAGTAGTATTTGTCGGGCACACTGCCATGACAATTCCAATTACTGATTATCCAACTGTTCCTTCTCTAACTGAATCCTCATCTCTTTGTACCACACAACTCAAAGAAAGTAGTATTTGTCGGGCACACTAAGCCAGATGGATGAGACCACATATGTTTGGAGGCAACTAGCCGGGGGCACCCCAAGGGTTGAGGTGATTAACATTTAGGGAGGGTTGCCCCTATCACAGCATACTTGTAGGGGAAACTCTGTTCTGGGCTGGATGTCATAGGAACCCGAGGATGGAAAAGTGGGTACTGTGGTCGGGCATGGGGCAATGGTGAGCAACTCTCTTAAAGACTTAAGTCCCAGTCTACCTCTTTCTTTTTCCTACATTTGATTTTACATAAATAGTACTAAAAATCTGCATTTTTTTTCCCTTAAAAGGGGCCCAAAAAGCTCCACTTTGAGAACCATTGCTACAGGCTACCCATTGCAAAAGCTTCTGATTATCTGGTATTTCACCTAACGGATTCTTTGCCTTATTTCACCTTACCTGCATTTCCCTCTTTATCTCATCTCTCTCCAAGAATGGCATCCTGAAATTCTGCATAAGCAGAAGGGGAAGGCAGCAACAGTTTTTGAGTCCCAACTGTAAGCCAGGCACAGTACCAGATGCTTTGATATATCATTTCCTTTTATACTCTTAGCAATCCTACAGAATTGGTATTGTACAGAGGAGGGACATGAGGTTCAGAGAGGAGAAATGATCTGTCCAAGACCACATCTTCATTAAATGGCAGGGCCAGAATTCAGTTAGTCTAATCCTGGCTTGAAAGACCAAAATATGACAATGCACATAAATGACTATGACGATGCCAGGCATTTCATAGGAGCCCAATAAAAAGACATGTTTAGTATTGATGCTGTTATTATTATATGCCATGGGACCCTTGGTTTATATAAGCTACCTCTTCCCTTTTCATAGAATTATGGAGATTTAGAACTCAATGGTCATTGAGTCTGACCTGTTATCAAAACAGGAATCCCCTCTGTAATGTCCCTACTAGTTGTACAAACTGCTTCTGTTTCAGCCCTTTTCTTGATGGGGAACTCACTACCTATCAGTCAGATAGCTCTGCTTTGAGCTGAGTTGAAACCTGCTTTCTTATAACATCATTACTTTCCAGCTGCCTCACCCCATGACAACAGTTTGGACAGACCTGTGTTTCTTCTCTGCAGGCTAATTATTCCCAATTCCTTTGTCCTTTTTCTCACATGACCTGGCCTCCAGTCTCCTTGCTCTTGTGGTCACCCACCTCCTCCATTTAACTTTGATCTGTCCAAGTCGGAACTTCTTCAAGACCACTCCACCCCTGCTTCTGTGACTTCTCAGCCTAAACGCAGGTCTGTGTCCTTGTGTGGCCTTCTTAGTTGCACATCCCTGTTTCCCGCCAGCTCACAGCTCCTTCCAGTTGACATTTCCAAGCAAACAAAGCAATTCCAAGGTGCCATAGGCCCACATTGTGAGCATATATCTTCATGCTGAAATAAACACGCCCATGGGCTAGAAGGAACACCAGAGCCAGGCCGCTTCCTCCCCAAACACAGAATTAGGCCAGCAATACAAGCTGCCTTTGCCGAGGCCAGCTGTGTGGCCGGGCACTTCTCTCATGCACGCGGAAAGCACACAACGTGTCCTTCTATTTTTCTGCAGCTTGATTTGATGACTGCTGTTGGTGATGAAGATCTATTTATCTGAAAAGTATCTATTTCCCAATTCAGAGCTATCTCTGAAGGGTGCTCTGTGTCCAGGGTCCAGCAGGGAAAAATGGAAGAACACCTGGCAGGAGGCAGACATACCTGGACGTACCTCTATGTGGCTTTGGATAACTTACTCTATGCCTCTGGCCTCAAACTCTGAGATGAGTGAGGGAGACTGGGATACCGTCCCTGACTCCAGTCAAAGGCAACCAGACACTGTGCTTGTGGGCTCCCTCTTCTGGCGCAGAGATTCCCTGAGAATCCCTGTAGCCAGGACATGAGGGGCACAGAGGACAGTCAGACTTTAAAAGGGGCCACATTTTAAGCTTTCTTTTACGTTGCAATTTTTATGCGTGTCTTCCTCACTAGTCGAGGGGCATCTTGAGGCTCTGGAACATCTATTGTACAGTCCATAGGGGAGCCCTCAGTAAACATTTACTTAAACTCAGCTAAGCCATTCCTAAAATCCACTTTATCCTCTCAAACCCCCAAGCCTCTGTTCAGGCTGGCTCCCAGCCCAGCTTAATCTCTCACCATCTTTGTGGAGATATCTCCCTCTTACTTCTCAAGACCTCCAGGAGGTTGCCCAGCTTAATCTCTCACCATCTTTGTGGAGATCCCTCTTACTTCTCAAGACCTCCAGGAGGTCGTCTCTGCACACCAAACCGAACCCTCTTTTCTCCCTTCCTCAGAGCAGAATGAGCATTTTGCTTTGTTCTTCCAATGCATCTTTTAAAACATACCTTTTGTAGCATGCTCTATCTTAATTGACTGCTTCCTTCTGTTTCTCACAAGGTCCTTACTCAAAGACAAGACTATGTCCTTTCATCTGAATGTCTCCCGTGCCAGCACAAAGCCTGGAGGGCTGTTTGATTTCTAATTCAAATGACTTGACTACTCCTGTTAGGCAGGAATTAATGAGCATGGAAAGCAAACATGCTCCTTCCTCTCCAGGACTTTCTCTCTGCTGTAACTTTGGGGGTCTTTCCTTTATGATTTTGCTCTCACCGTCTCTGCAGCTAGCAGTGCTGCCTATCCACCTCCTCTTGGAGACCTTCTTTGACTCCATCCATAGATTGCTGTCTCTTCTTGACCTCCACAGCTCCTCCTACTGTCTGTGCCACCTGTCCTGTGGTGATGAATTAGGTCTGGTCACAAGCCCACTTAACCTAGTTCCCTGACATATGTGTGCACCACCTAGTGGCTCAAGCAGATAAGTGTAAGCTATTGTTTTAACCTGTAGCTCTTATTAGTTAGACGGAATTAAAAAATTTGCAAGCTATATATGCAAAAGAAAAAGTGTATGTTTGAGAACCACTGTGTAATAATTTTTACCTAAAAAACTGGGATATCCAAGTAATTCCTTTAAAGTTCTTAAAAAAATAAAAGGAATCAAATGAACGGGAAATTTTCCTAGTCTACCTAGTATAATCATTTGAGATTGCCAATGGAAACCCTATGGCATTTGTAAAAACAGGGCACATGATTTGTGGAATTTTATCAATAATGTACAATCAGTTTTATATAGAGGGTGCATATTAGATGTAAATAATTACCAAATTGTTATAATTAGTTACCAACTAAGAGATAAGGGTCTTTTATATGGAGATAACAGTATCAAACTGCCTAGACGTAAAATATGCAATGTAAGATGGAGGAGATGAAGTCGGTGATCTAGGAGGTTTGGTGGCTGATAGGGCCTGTGTGGGGGGTAGGATGAGAGCTTAGCAGATGAACCACTAGGTAACCAAAAGCTACAGTATAAGGAAGGCAGGGCCTTCACATGTGTTATAGCGTGTGTACACGTGGTATGTGTTTTGAGGAGTGGGGCATTCCTCCTCAAGTGAAGGAACTCCACACCTAGACAGAAATGTGTCCACATGTGCCAATATGGTATTTCATAGAGTCTTGGAGGAGGGTGGGTATGCCAGAGTGGGTTCGTTAGGTGTTGATGTGGGGCCTCCTGGCTGTGTACGAGCCCTGCACCCAGCCTTCCTTAGTAGGAGTGGCGCCCCATGGACATTATGAAGAAACCCATTTCTGTGCTTGAGCACCACAGGATGAATGCTCCATCATGATTCCATAAAGGCCATAGAGGGTTGGGTGTTTCAAGGCCAACAGGAACAATCTCTTAATTTGATGCCAGCTGGGAAGGCCAGAGCATCTACAGTGGATGCTCGCAGAACTGTCTGCCAGCATCCTTGCTCCAAGAGTCATTCATATTCCCCCATGCATCCAGTGGAAGCTCTTTCATTAATATAATGTCACCGTCCTCTGGCCCAAGAATGAAAGTCCTGAAAGGTGAGCCAATTAGAAACCTCATCCACGAATTTCAGATTTTTTATGGGTTCAATTTATTCTCAATGAAAACTATGATTATTGTCCTAACTTCAATAACCTATCTTTAAATATTTTATAATTATAAAAGCAAATATTCTTATTTTTGTCATTTTCCAAATTTTTAGAAAATTCAGAAAGTAAAATTTAATAAAGTCCCACTAATAGAAGAGAACCATAGTTAGCATTTTGGTGTATTTTCTTGTCATCTTTCTTGCTTGTATATATTTAATGAGATCGTAGTTATATATAAAAAATGAAGTACGTTTTAATCATATGCAACATTATATTTTTTGTGTGTGTTTTTTTGGTCCCAGGCCATGTCTTTGTTTTGAAGTATAAGGGTGTAAGTGACATTTATTTACTGTCATAACTGGTATGTTTGCTCTCACTGCTGTGATTTTGTTTCTAGTCCCTTTTTTCAAGGAACGTAGCATTAATCAGCAGGACATCGGAGG